TCAGAACTGCAATATTACTAATACAAACTAAGGTCAGGGGCAGGAGTATGCTATGCCGATGTGGGTGGGAAAATGGGCCAATTTGAGCAGATAGGTACATTAAAACAACCGTGTGTGTGTGGGTGTGTGTGGGTGTGTGTGTGTGTGTTGGGGGGGGGCATGTCCAGACAGTAGCACAGCAGTGAAACAACAGCCTGCAAGGTAGACCCACATGGGAAGGTTACTGGTCGGTGTCTGGAGACATCCCTGAGTATGCCAGGCAAGTATGTGCCCATGATCTGGGGCTGGCTGAAGCTGGAGGTGGATGGTGATGTCAAGACACACCTGTCGGGGGTGCTATATATCTGTCTCTGTCTCATTTACTCATGGAATAAATAAATAAACTTAAAAAAAATGAATGGGGGGGGCCAGCAGATGGCGTAATGGTTATGTTGCTGGACTCCCACGTAGTTGACCGTGGTTAGAGTCCTGGCCATGAAAGCTTAAAACTCATGCCGGGCATATGTGCGTGCATGCTCAAGATCCCAAGAGGAGAATGGAGAAAGGTTTGCAGTGTGGCCGCCACCCTGGGGGTGTGTGTGTGATTTTTCACTTTCTATCTCTCTGTCTCTCTGGTGAGCACACATGCCCTATAGCAAAAATCTCTCTCTCTAAAAAAAAAAAAAAAGAAAGAAAGAAAAAAAAAAAGAAAGGGAACTAAGCTGGAATAGGGCTGAATCAGATTATTAAAATCTTGAAACCCAGACAAAAAAACAGAAACAAAGCTAAAAGAGATTTAAAAAGCCAGGAAAGTGAAGAAATGGGATAAAAATTAAGTCTAAAAGAGGTTATTGGAAGAGAGTTTGAAGTCTGAGAACCAGTTTGGAAGTAAATATAGTTAACTGAGCAAAAAATGGTGAGACTGTGGAATAGTCTGGAATTGGAGGGGGAGCTGGGGAGACACTTGGTAGATTATAGGTTAAGTGCAGGCGGTAGTGGACATGGTGATTCGGAATACTCCGAGGTCTTACACAGGAGGGGAGGGGAGGAAACCAAGTCTCATAATAGCTTTGATTTCTCACGGTGGAAGTCCATCTTCTAGAAAAGTAGAGCTCTAAAGTTTCTGATAATTCTCTGGGCTCATGCTATACACTTCCTGCAGTTGCCAGAGACCTTTGTTTTTCAGATAGCGTAAGAGAGAGCCAGGAAGGGGAACCAGCAGTTAGCGTAATGCCTATGTTGCTGGACTCCCACGTAGCCGACCGCGGTTCGTGTCCCCTACCCGGTGGCTTAAAACTCACGCCGGGCGCGTGTGCGTGCGTGCCCAAGATCCTGGGAGGAGAATGGAGGAGAAGGGATTGCGGCGTGACCATCCCCCCTGGGGGGTGATTTCTCGCTTTCTGTCTCTATGTCTCTCTCTGTCTGTCTGGCGAGCGCACGCGCCCTACAGTGAAAATCTCTCAAAAAAAAAAAAAAAGAGAGAGCCAGGAAGGTTTGGTCTATTGCCCAAAGTCAACCAATAAGTGGCGAAAGGATAATGTAGAGACTCAGACATCTTAATTCCTGGTTCAATGAACCGTCCTAAACTGTCTGGATATGAGTCTCTGAGTTTCTTCAGTTTGCCTGACCACAGATAGTCAATTTTCAAGCAAAGAGGATTTAGGCTTTCCGTGGTATGTACCATCTAGCTGGTTGGGTTTCTTTTTTTCTTTTTTTTCCTCTCTTTTTTTTTTTTTTTTTTTAAGATTTTTGCTATAGGCCCTTGAGCTCACCAGAGAGATAGAAAGCGAGAAATCATCCCTCACAGGGGATGGCTACACCACAATCCCTTCTTCTCCATCCTCCTCTCAGGATTTCGGGCACACACACACACATGCACCTAGGGTAAGTTTCAAGGAGCTGATCTGGGACTCAAACTGTGGTCAGCCATGTGGGAGTTAGTGCCTTAACCACTATGCCACCTGCTGGTCCGCCTGGCTGGGCTTGTAAATGAAACTCCCTGTGTGTGTTTTCACTAACTCTTATCTGATATGACTGTGCAAACAGAGTACTGTCACTGGCTGCCAGCCTTATCAGGCAATATATGTTTATCCTATTCTGTGGATAATAAAGTTAAACACATGACTTCTTTTTTTTTTTTTTAGGGCGTGTGCGCTCACCCCAAAGACAGAGAAAGACAGAGAGATAGAAAGCAAGAAATCACCCCCCGGGGGGATGGCCATGCTGCAATCCATTCTCCTCCATTCTCCTCTTGGGATCTTGGGCACGCATGCACACATGCCCAGTGTGAGTTTAAGCCACTGGGTCCGGGACACGAACCGCAGCCAACTACATGGGAGTTCAGCAACATAGCCATTACGCTAACTGCTGGTCCCAACATGTGACTTCTTAACAGTATAGAATCTTAGATTTTAAAAGGTCTTAACTTCCTACCCAAACTAAAACCCCTAGACAATAGTCTAGACAGATGGTCTTCCTGCTTCCTGCTTTCAGGAATGGGGCTGTTCATTCCTTTGTCAGGACAGCTTTAGTTACTAAAAAGTTCTTCCTTACTTTAATCTGAGTCTTATATCACTGTAGTGTGGCCCAGTGAGAACAGCACAGGCCTTAAAATCAAGCAAGCTTGGACTGCGATCTGTCTATATAATTTGCAGTGATTTAATGAAGTTATCTTTAATCAGTTTCATTCTCTTTATTTTTCAATGAATAATACTGGTATCTTTTTACAGAGTTACCATAAATACTAGGGATTACGAATGGAAAATAATTAGTCTAGTGCCTGGCATAAAGAACTAATAAAATGACAGCTATCATTAATAAATATCATCATTACTAGTACTATTATACCCTATTTGGTACCTAAGTGTTCCTAGTTTGCCCTATGGAGATATACATGTATGCCTCAAAGCTGCCTTTTTTTAAAAAAAATTTTTTTTAGGGAGATTTTTGCTATAGGGCGCCAGTGCTCGCCAGAGAGACAGAAAGACAGAAATTGAGTAATCACCCCCCAGAGGGGATGGGCATGCTGTAATTCCTTCTCCTCCATTCTCCTCTCGGGATTTTGGGCACACGTGCCCACACGCCCAGAGTGAGTTTCAAGCCAGTGGGTCCAGGCCTTGAACCGCAGTAGACTACATGGGAGTCCAGCGACATAATCATTATGCCATCTGCTGGTTTCCAGTCTTTTAAATACTTGAAATTTGTTGTCATGTTATTCTTGAGAGTTCTTTTTTTTTTCCCCCCAAATAAGCATCCACCAATGTTTTCTCTCTCTCTCTCCCTGCAGTGGCTGTGCTCCTGTGAGTGATGTTCACAGAACAGAGTGCCCGTAACTGAGCAAAGTTCTTCAGGTGTGTCTGGATAAGAGTGAGGCTAGAAACCTCTTTGCCTCAGACACTACCTCCTGTTAAGCTGCCTAGGAATCCTGTGATTTTCTTACAGCCATATTACATTACTGTCTTAGTCCTATGAAAACTTTCAGGTAGTTTTTGTGCAAATGAGTTTTAAGTCTTCTGCATTGACTAGGACAAAGTATCAACACATTAGAAGTGTAAGCTCTAGGGACCAGAAGTTAGCCTAGTGGCTATGTCGCTGGACTACCATGTAGTTGACTGTGGTTCGAGTCCCGGACTCGTTGGCTTAAACTCATGTGTGTGGATGCATGCCCAAGATCCTGAGAGGAGAACAGAGGAGAAGGGACTGCGGTGTAGCCATCCCCCCTGGGGGGGGG